GGCTGGAGGGGTCGGCTTCTCGCTGCCGGTCAGCGCGGAGCTGGAGGAGCCGGGGAGGGAAACGAGGCCCCCACCAGGCTTTTAGTCAGGGTAGGGGAGTTTAGTTTTATTTCTTTGGTTTGGTTGGGATGTTTTTTTGTCGTTAGGAAATTGCCCCTTAATTGTAAAGGTTTGGAAATGCCAGGTAAAGTTCGTCCAGTGAGTTTTCATGAGAGAAATGGAGGCTTGGTTTGTATGTGGTGGGTTTCTTAATACTAAAATACTGTCCCTGTCGTTCAGAAGGTCTTATTCTGAAAGTGGTTGAACGTTTCAGTTTGATGTTTCAAAACAAACTTTTTCAGATTTTCAACCTAAAGTATTTTAATTTTAAAATGACTGGGATGGGCGTGGGGTTGAGGCTTCAGTGGTTCTCTAAAGAAAGCGAGGTTATGGTTTGCCTTCTTCAAAAAAGCTTCATCAGGCATCTCATGGTTTTGAACTCCATTTGTTGGAAAGGCCCACCCAAATTTTGCTTCATCTTACCTTGATTAGGAACTGTTTTCTGATTTACTCTGTTGCATTGTGCTCTATGTGCAGTCTCAGTCCTGGAAGAGCTAGGATTTATGTGATGGTGACAGAACATGAATGACATAAATCATAAATTAATTCTTCAAAGCCTTGCTCATGTACATAGATGTGGACTCAGCGAGTAGTTCCATTGACAGTGATAGAGCTCTTCTTATAAAAGCTTTTGTTACAAAGCAATTCATCTTTGACCACATCATTATTTGGTTTCATTTTTAAGTATGTGTCATTTTACACATACATATTTTATAACAAGCTTATTTTTTTTTTTTTCCTCCAGTCCTAGATAATATATGGCTTCACCAGAGGAAAAACAAGCTCAGCCCTTTGCGGATATCTTCAATGAAGATGAAGCTGAAAAATCCTTTCTGTTGTCCAAGCCTGCTTGTTTAATTATCTTTGGAAAGCCAGTAAGATGTCTAATAGAATTTTTTTCTTCAGATATTCTGTTAGCAATTATGCTTTTCCCTTCAAAACGCTAGTTTAGTGGCACGGCCAAAATGATCAAAGACCTACTTTATATTTTGCACTTTGCAAATCCTGCATAGTTTGTTAAAGATTCTGATCTCATTTAATGAGGCCAAATTTTAGCCTAAGTGACCAGTAAGTTACAATTGAAAGTATTATAACTGTATTTAAAAGTCACATGTTGCTCAAAAAGTTTCTTCTCTTTTCACATTGGCAACTGGATTGTTTTTATCTTATTTCAGTATTGTAACTTCTAAAAAACTTGGCAGATTAAAGACATAAATAGGTGTAAAAGAACCATCAGGTTAATATACTGACTTACAGACATGCAGTGAGATATTAAATATTTTAACTTATTATTAAAAACATTGAAGTAATTTTATGTCATATACTTGGGAATGACTGAAATACACCAAGGTGTTCCAATAAGGAGATTTGTACTATATTTTAACTATAATTCAAGGTGTCTCTTTTTCTCAAATAATTTGTGGCCTCTTTTACTTAGGAAAATTTGATGTTTTGAGGTCCTAAGCTTTCTTTTTCCCAAATGTAGGAGACTATGTGTGGTTTTACGTTAGTGCCTCAGTTTGCTGAACGGAGTTCTTTTTGTGGTGCAAGTTTGCCTAATGTCTATACTGAATCTGGTATGCACTTAAACACACCACTGGTGCCCTGATAGCTGCTTTCCTCTTGAACATTGCAGTTGCCCATGAAAGGTGCCTTCAGAGCACCCCACTGCCAGTGTGAAAGCAAGGTCCTCTAGCAGTTTGGAAATCTGCTTTGCTATGCCTAGCAGGTAGAAAGGTAGACAGGATGCACCTAGAATTGGTGATGAAGCCAAACTTTGATGACTGTTGACCCACCAAGTCAAGCCCCAGTGCCTCTCTGCTCAGCACCAATGTAGGGCCATGCTGTGGTGCAGTATGCCAGCACATAGTCACATGATGGTAGCAGATTATATCATGAGAATGGCCATAGTGCTAAGATGCAGCTATATTTCCTTTCTTTAAAGGCTTTCAGCAGGCTGTAAGGCTTCCAATCCTAGTGTTTTCACAGTTCTACATCCTTTCTTGCTCCTTGGGTCCAGTTGCTGGGTAATGCTTGACTGCAGATCTTTACATCTGACCAAACTGAGAAAGGAGGCAGGGTGGTGTTCTGCAAGTGGATGAGATGCAGACATCACAGTGAGACTGTGTAAGGTGGTAGCCAAAAGTGTGCCTTAGGTTCACCATGAAACAGTGCATTCAGCTCAGTAGAAAACTACAGCAGACTGTCTTGCCTCATTTTAAACAAACATTGAATTTCTAACCTTACATGAAGAAGGTAACCTTAGATTTTCAAAGACCAAATCAGCATAAAATACTTATTAAATACAATGCAAAAACTATATAATAAATATATATTCTCATCTGAAATCATTGCCTTCAGTAGGTGCTTGATATTAATACAAATTTTAAGAAAGGGTTGAAATTGTGCAGGCCTGGCCAGGAGGGCAGAGAATTGAATTCTGGTTTTATTATGATATCTTTGTGGCGGCTGTTGTGTAGGTCATCTATCTTATTTGAGATACATCTTTTATATTAAATCGTATTGCTGTTAAAGCAAAACCAAATGCATATATTCTCATCACACCTGTAAGATAAAAGGTATGAGTAGGCTGGAGTGTTTACTGGTACGCTGTTAACTGGGAATGTGATTTATTTGTGGGGGTTTTACTATATTTTAATAACAGAATTTATCTAGGGCAAACAGACTGTCAAAAAAAAGGTCTTTTTGTACGCCCTTGGGAAAAGGGCATAATCCTAAGGGTGAAAGATGGTGAGTTTTGCAAAATCCTATTTAGGTAGCAGTACCTTGCAGGTAGACCTTAGAGGCCTCATTACTCTTGGTTCTGTTGGTTCCTCAGGATTCAGGTAAGTGATAAAATAAACGTTTTGTCAGCATCTAAACCAGGTTTGTGGACTAACAAGAGCAGGTTTTTTATATTCAGTGGTTTAGTTGAAGAATATTATCCCTCTATCTTATTCAGAAACGGCTGAACAGGTTTCCATCATAATTTGCTTTGAGACTGAAGATAATAAAATTCAGTCCCAAAGAACTTCTCATAGGAATTTATGGGCAAATCGTAGCTGAATTTTAGATAGAGATACTCAGAAACAAAGTCAATGTAATTACTTTGGAGATAATTAACTCCAAAGGGCAGTAACAGTGTATTAGCAATGCTAGGCAGTTAAAATAGAGGATAGTATTAAAAAAAGTGTTGGTGTTTGCCCTTGTGTTTGTGCATAACTCAGAGATCCTGATCCTGGGGGTAGCATTTAATTGTTTTTATCATATGAAAATGTATTCTTTATTGTGTTTTTTTTTTGTTGTTGTTGTTTTTTCCTTCTACCCGTTTTTCTTTTAAATGTGTACTTTTCATTTTAAGGGTTCTGGAAAGAAAACATTGGCTAGAAAACTAGCACAAATATGGAAATGCATTTTCATAGAAGGTAAACATACACTATATTTGGAACATTACATTGTCTTCATAATATCTGTTGCTTTAGAATATCCACGCTGTTCCATGTAATTCACAATGGCAGGTTTCTGAATCCAGTAAGGACTACTGATAGGGACCAAGTAACCATCTTTTCAGAAATGTCAGTTGCTGACAATTGGCCTTTTAGTTATAGAGGCTTAGAAAACAGCTTATTTTTTTCTTTTATTTTTCTTTTGGTTTGTGGTTTTTGTTTTGTTTTGTTTTGTTTTTCCATGGGGACATACGTAACACATAATCAAATTCTATTCCCAGTCCTGTAAGATGATTCATGTGACCCTTCTTGTTCACATTGAGGCAACGCATTCAACTCCAGAGAGCACAGAGATTTTTCAATACAGACCATGAAAAATTAGAATGATCTTTCCATTCTGTTTGTGCAGTGCCTAATACAAAAGGGGATGTACTCCAGGAAACAGAAACGTAGCTTTTGTATCAGCGTGAGTAATAGTGGAAAGAATAGGAGCTGGCACTTTCAAATTTCTAAAACAAAATTATCTGATGGCTTATTTCAGAAAGTATACTTAATTTCTCCCACCATGTGTTTACCAGAATAGAGGATATAATTTCATTTTCTAGGCTATCCAATTCCATTTCTGACAGTCCCTCTCATCAAAAATTTCTGAAGATCTGTAGAGTAAAACCTGTTGCTTGTAACATTGTCTTATTCCCTGTCAGTATATTGCTAGAGAGCTTTTTTTATATCTCAAGGCAGCTCATCAAGAAAGTAGGTTCCTACGAAAACAATTCTCCGTCAGGGTTTTTTTGCACTGATTTTGTCAGCAGCAACTAAATCTGTGTTTGTTTTTAAAGCCCTGTACTTGTGACATTATAAATCACAAATCTTGATTTACTGACTTAAGTTTGGTGAAAAAAGAAAACTTTCCCTCCAGATTTGTCCTACCAGTTTGAAGGCTAATATAAACTTTTTAAGTGGAAAAAATGAAAGTACATCATAACCTTAACTATGAAGCAGTTTGTTGAGTGCCTCTTTGGGAACTCCAAATTATAAATCTGATTTTATGGTATATATGTGTACAGTTATTCTGTTTATGAAACAACTCTTTATATATCGATATTCATTACCTTCTTTTTTTCTTTTAAATGTGCCCCCTGGTATTTCTTATTGTTCTAATAAAAGCCCTCTAGTGGATAGTGTAACATTTCATATTTCCATGAGTATGTAGGGTTTGTCAAATGACTGCTACAGCTGAACCCAGAACAAAGATAAAGATACATCATTTGAATTATAATGTGGTAAAATTCTGTTTTAATAAAGTGATATTTTGACTTATATAAATATAAAATTTTTAGTTCATAAGATTGTCTAACAAAATATTAACGCTTGGTCCAAAACACACATCAGACCAAAATTGAAAGGGACCTTAGGAATGTACTTAAGCCAATCCACACTGTTTGAATGTATTTAAACCATTACTGACAAATGTCTATCAAATCTATTTTTAAAAATATCTTTGTAGTCCATCTCTGTAACACAGTCTTTGCCATTAGAAAATGTTTCTTAATGGCTAATGTAAATCTCACTTACTGCATTTTTATGCTTTATTTCTAGTAAATTTGGAGAATTATTCTTTTATTCTTTTGCTCATGGTATTTCTTCTAATCTTCTTTTGTTTAGTGTACACACATTCCTTTTACTAGTAGGGATTTTTTCTTTAATTTTCCACATCTAAAAAAAAAAACCAAAAACAAAAACAAAAAAAGAACCCAAAGAACAACAAAGAAAACCCAAACCCACAAAAAAAGCCAACCCCCCAAAAAAACAAAGAAACAAAGCAATTTAACATATATAAACATGAATCTGGGAGAAGTAATTTTTAGCTAGTCATCCTCTACACATCCCTGGCAGTGTTCAAGGCCAGGTTGGATGGGGCTTTGAGCAACCTGGTCTAGTGGAAGGGGTTCCTGCCGATGGCAGGGTGGATGGAACTAGATGAGCTTTAAGGTCCCTTCCAACCCAAATCATTCTATGATTCTGTGACCTCCAGAGGTCATTGAGTCCAACCTTCCACTCAAAACAGAATCAACTAGTGAAGGTTGCTCAGGACTATGTCCAACTAAATCTGGAATATCTCCAAGGACAGAGAGTCCACCACCTCTCTGGGCAACACTTTCCAATGTTTGACTACCTTCACAATGAAAAATTGCTTCCCAGTCACCCCACTGGAATTCCTTGTGTTCCTACTTGTGTGTGTTGCTTCCTGTCTTATCTGCACTTCCGTAGAGAGAGTGGTTCTGTCTTTGTGCCTTACCAGTAAATAGTGTTAGACAGCAGTAAGAGCTGTCCTGTTTTCTCCAGGCTGAACAAGGCCAGTTCTTTTGGCCTCTCCTAGTACACTTAGCACTTCTGATCATCTTGGTGCCTTCCACTGGACTCACTCTAGTGTATCAGTATCTGTTAAAAATTATCCAAGATAGAGAATTATTCAATAGGAATAGTTTGCACTCTTTTTAATTTCACAAAATATTTTCTATCCATTTCCCCAGTGAATAGGTAAATAATTTATACTCATAAATAAATCAGGGTCACAGTACACATACAATGCTGATTTTCAGTTGTCTGTATTGCTTAGTACATTCCCTGTTTCAGTTTTGGCCTATGGCAAATACTGCTCTCCTGAACACCCATTCACAGTATGAAGGATAGAATGACCATAGTCATCATTACTAGTAGGAACAGTTCGAAAACAAACACCAGGTTTTAGGAAGAAAGATTTTAGCTGTATAGGCATGAGTCACCTGGTTTCAGGACCTTTCTCTGGCCTGGTTTATCAGTAACATAGATGTAGTCTTAAAGGTTATTAAAAGCTTTTGTTAAGTGTTTGCTTCTTTCAATGGTATAGAAGTGTGAAAGACTTCCAGGATCATTCTGCTATGATGTCGCTGTTCATGGAGACAGAAGGCAGGTCTTTGAATGTAATGGGTGTTAAACTTAGTATTTATTTGTTTTAGATAATTAGACTATATAAGGAATGGGGTTTTAAGGGCTTTTTTAAAGCAGATGGTTCTGTGTGTCTTTTTCTAAAACTTGCTTTTAAAATCTGGGAAGTGTTTGAGCTCAAATACACATCTGGATTACACAACAGTAATGCTAATTTGCTATCAGTCAGTAGTTAAAATAATCCTGCAAGGCTGCTGTTATGCATTTATCTGTATTATCTATAGGGTTAGGTAGTAGGGAAATCATCTACCCAGACATTGCCAGAAGGTACCAAGTTCTGGATGGACAAAATATAATAATGGCCCTAAATATAATAGCTGTTCCCTCAAAAATAGTCTGGTTGCTTGGAGCGCACATACATGCTCCTATGTGTGAGTGTGTGTGTGTATGTATCTGCATGTACATATCTGTATAGAATGTGTTTTATTAATTATTTTAAATTTATTCCATCTGATGTGTTTCCTCAGCTTTGGAAGTAATCCAAACAAATATTCAAGAAGAAACAGAATATGGGCTTCAGGTAAAGGTTTTATCTTCTAGTGAGTTTTGTCACATTCTTGACAAATATGTATTTTATAAGACTATGTTTTGAATTTTACCTTAGTGTCAAGAGTTGCTTTTTAAAGGTCAAAGTATTTCTGAAGAACTGGTTACAGAAATGATTCTGAAAAAGATTGAGTCACCAGAAGTTACTCATTTTGGTAAGTATATTTATAACTTAAGCTTCTAAGAATGAGCTAGCTATAATTTTGATACACTTTACATCCACTACTGCTCAAATATAATTTATTTTATGTTAGACAGTAGAACTTTTTCTTGTGCTCCTTAAGTTGTGGAATACTCCTAAAATGAGAGTGTATTTAGGGATTAATTTACCAATATGGGAGATAAGAAAGTGTCATACCAGTCCTCTGTTGTATTAATTTTGAAAAAATGAATTTTCCCCAAATTTTAAATGTTACTTTGACTCTCATTTAACAATAGTATCTGATTAGAAAAGTTGTATGATTTACAGTACAGATTTTTTTCTCTTGAATACTTCTATAACAATACAACAATAAAATCCCACCAGCAAAAACATATTAAACATTTAAAATAATGAAGAAGGAAAACAAGATAGCAAAAAAAGATATTGAAAATGCAAAGTATTTGTCTTTTTTTTTTTCTTACAAAATTGTTTATTCACTTTGCATTTTGTCACTGAGAATAAGTTAGATGAGCATAGTGTTGGTAGTTGATAATGATTCTTCTTATTGAGGAAAAACGATGTTAATTGAGGCTCTTAAGACTAGTGCTGCAGATCTTTGCTGGAATCTGCATGTGCTTTCCTGAAGAGAAAACAAATATATTGCTAAGTAGAAAGAAAGAAAAAGAAAATGTAGTTTCTTTTTCCTGGTGCTGATTTTATTTGAAATTTCCATTATAGGAGAGAGACAGATGTAGTGACAAGAAAATGTTACGTTTCTACTGCTCTGAAAACCAGCATGCTTCTATAAGCTTTCAGTTGCAATGGCTTTTGTTCCTTCTCTAGTCTAAGACTCAACAGTTTCACAAAAGATGCAGCCTTACCTGATGAAACGAGGCTTTTAAAACACTAGGCAAAAGAGAAATAGGGTATTTTTTTAAAAAAGGAGATGACGAAGAAACAAAAATATGAGGGATGAAGCAGCAGCAGAACTGCCAATCTCTTAATCCATATGTCAGGATGTTATTAGAAACCTGAAGAGATGTGTGTTGTCTGAGTTCCCCTCTTTGAGTCACTCTGGTGATGAATGCCTAAGATGGACCACAGAGATCCTAGAGACTGTAAACATGACTATGAAATTAAGTTTATTTTTTTGTAGCCAAGGCATTTTCTGTATTACAGATGACCTAAAGTAGCAAGGAATAGAATAACCTACATCCTCACTATTTTTCCTACCAACTACATCCCAGCTCCAAAACCAATTTTTGTTAAGTATTTTCTAGTTCTAATGAATTTTTATTTAGCAACAATTATCTTAATATAATCCTTGGAAAGCTTATGTAGGCTTTCAGCAGAAACTAATCAGTCAATTCACTATTAATTATTCATTAAAGATTTTAGAAACAGTTTGCATGAGAGGCTGAGTTTTTTATTTTGAACATTTGGTTTTAATGTTGTAAAATAGAAGTTTCTAAATAGTACACACAATAAGGTATTTTCAGTTATACTCTTCTGACCTAATAAGCATGTGTTGGGGACTGATGTGTCAGAATTATTCAGAAGTACTAAAGCAAATGGTAATATTTAAAAAATTGTAAGTCACTAAAAAGAGATGTATTTTTTTTTTTACTTCTGAAGGTCAGATATAAAGCTATTTCTTCAGATAACCAGTGTCTTTTTAAAAAATAACTTAGGCACTGGAAAATAACAAGCACACTTATAACTTAGGGTATTGTAGGTAAGAAAATACAGAATTATATCCTCTATGTAGCTGACATGCTTGCTAAATTTTTTTTTTATAATAGAATAAGAAAACAACCAGAAGTTCGTATGTTAACCTAAATAATGTTTGCAAAGAAAAAAATCTATGTCACAGGGGAAAACTGTTCAATTAGCATGACTTAAATCAGGACCAAAGTTGTTTATTGATTTATTAATTAACTGACAATCAGTGAACTGGTGATCAGTGAAAAGGTTCAGTATTAGACACACAACAGACAAGCCACTTGTCAAATATTAATAAACACCTGCAAATTTCTGAACACTCTCCTAAAACTAACTCCAAACAGTATACTCAAACATGCAAACCCTCTCACAAAGAAGGAAGTTTACAAGCACAAATTCCCTTTTCTGAAAATGTATATTGGCCTATCTACGCACACTTTCTGTTGGAAAGGTGGGTGCTCTAGTTTTGTCTGAGTGTGCCATTTCCTACAGTTTACTAATCCACACACCAGTGAGAAAGCTCCCATGAGCTCACATAGATGCACTTGAGGTGTGGGTTGCTATGTGCTTAACCCTGTTCTGTCAGTCCAGTAGTTGACATGAAGGTTACTTGCAGCATCCAACAGGGATGTCAGGCTGTCAGGCCTATACAGACATCTGTAGTGCTGACACATCACACATCACACCTTGTTAGGCTGCTGTTCTTTTACCTCATCTCTAAGGTCTTTTCCCCTAGTCACAAATTTTACTGTTTCTTTTCAAGATCCTTCTCTCCCCAAAAGTTTCTTGGTAATCCCCTCATTACTCTTTGCTCTGCTTGATTGTTGCCTTAGGTAAAGTTCATCATTATTAGTCCCCCACAACATGATCAGTTTGGAGGCAAACACCCTCTTGAACAAACAGTTTGGGGTAATCTTTTCCCATGTTATACTTCCATTCCTCTCACATCAGTTGTTGTTATCTGGGATTTGTTGATAAACTGAGGCTGAGCAGACTCCCTACATCTCATTGCCAGTGAGAATTCTCTGAAGGTATCAACAACTTAGAATCCAAGATTTTCACTTCCTAGAGGAATGACTATAAATTTTGCATGTATGGATAATAGCTCTCCAAAGAAGGAGTCATCTTCAGTCCTAATACCTCTAGCAACGACTTGCTACTTTTTGTGCTACATAGTCCTGCATTTAAATGTTATTACATAAAATTCTAGGCGTTTGGAGCATGGACCATTTCTCTGAGGGAATATTCTCATTATTAGACTTAAAAAATCCACCTGATTCTTGTTTAGTCTCTCATTCTGGCCTCATGAATGTTGAGTTCCTTGTTACGCGGTAGTTCTTACTGCACTGCATGCAGTCATTAGTAGTTAAAGTACTGTCCCAGAAACTTGAGGCCACAGGTTCATATGTGGGGCTGAGCACTCTAATACTGGGAAAAAGGTATTATTACCACCAGACAGTTGGTGTCTGTCTGCCAAAGAGGACTCAGCATTGTGAAACCTGAGTAAATGGATGCTTACAAAGTTAGGTGCCTCAATATGCACACTGTGTGCCTAGTGCCTTCTTTTGAGAGGATTTAACTTCCAGGAGCACTGTGTATCCCAGAGAGATATTCAGGCTCACTTTATTGTCCACAGAAGTGAAGATCTGTAAAGGTTGTTTAAAAAGCCTGCACTCCTAGTTTAATAGTTTTGTATCATAGAGTGGCTACCTTTTGCTATGCTTTTTACAAAGTCTTATAGTGGTAAAAGTGGTCACTAAAAGCTTGTTACTTTTTAGATGCTCCAGTGTCTGAGCTAGACACATGAAGCAGGTTGTCTGAGTATGATCTTTAATGTCTACATCCTTCTTGTATTTCTTAACTGAGTTCACAGACTTTGAGAGCCCTTTGTCAAGTTGAAAACACCCTTTTGTCTGTATTTCATCTGAAGTAGACGTGGATGCATGTTGTTTTTAGTAGTATTACGTTATGTACATGGTTTAGAATTGTGCCACTAAATAGATGTATTGTTTAAAGGAGATGAGTGTAACTAGTGCTATATATGACATCACCTTCTAATAGATATATTTAACAAAATGTATTTGGCAGGTTATGTTCTCAGTGGATTTCCTTCTCTCTCAGAGGAATATATGACTGTTTCACAGCAAGTAGAGAAAATAAAGAATCTAAAATTAAAACCGGATTTCCTGATTAACATTAAGGTAGTGTCATCTTCAGTAACTTGCTAGTAATTTTTCTAATTACTATTAGACTCATATGCTGTGTAAGTGAAAAGATAATATTTTTCCCTGTGCATTTGCATCTAGTATTTATTGAGCAATAATAAATTGTTCGCTTTTATATTGGAATGAAATTACGCTAGCTTGCTGCAATATAAGCACTACTCATGTAAAATAATGAACATTTCCTAGAACTTCAGTAGCAGTTAGTTTTTGTATTTCTGCCAATTAGAAGACACAGGTTTTCAAGAAAAGAAAACTGAATAACATGATTATTATGGAATTTTGGATACATGCACATCTGCCATTCGTATGTTTCCAGAAGAAACTTCTCACATATGGATGTTAGAGAGCAAATTGTTACATTTTTTACTCACTAATTGTGAAACTGCTTCTTAGTCATTATTAATTCATCTCATTTACAAATCTCAATTTCGTCATGAGAGTAATGTGACATACCAGATGCTTTACAAAAGTTACTCTGATATTACCATAGAGAGAGAAACACAAATATTTGTTAATATAGGATTAAGAGGACTTTCTCAGTGTAACTTAAAAGAATGGACTTGCTGGTTATGTCCATAATAAATAAATAAAACGAGGCAAGAGTGACTCTTCAGACATCAAGCCAACTGCTTTGGCAGAACACAGCTGATCTGTCTTGTTAGCCAAAATGGGGTGGCTGTGTCCAAACTGCCCACTGGGAAAGAACCCAGGCCTGTGACATTCTCCAGGTTGTTCCCAGCTATTTGCTAGAATACTAGCTGGCCCACACCAAGTTTTTCCAGTTTCCATACAGATGAAGTAACGGTATGTGTAATCATGAACAAGAGTTCACGCCTTTCTTCTTGCAGTGTTTTTTATTTATTATCAAGTAGAGTATTTTGATCTTTTAGTCTGAATGTGCAGAAAGAGCTGCTGAGCCAACTCTGAATAATCAGCCTCTGGTGTTGTGCTCCACTCTTATTGGGATTTTGATTGTAGTTGTCAAAACTAGACAAACCATTTATGTGGTTTGTCAGATGCTAAGTTCCAATGCATGGACCTAGTCTATGACTTTGAGAGATCTAATTCTGTGAAAGTCACACTTCAAGACTTAATATGTTTGACCATGCATGATGAAAATTTGTGAGTGCCTACTTTTAACCTTTCTTTCTGTGCTCGTGGAAAGATCTTAAAACATCAGAGAACCATATTTGTGTGCTGCTTTTCTGGCAGTTTTGATTTTTTTCAGCTACAGAAAGTCCATCTTTATTTTCAATACCAGATAGTGAGAGATCCAAGTTCTTGAGAATTTATGTTGTATAGTTTCATGTTGCAACAATACAAATAGAAGAACGGTACTAGTTACGCTAGAAAGAACACAGAATTCTTGACTTCATGTAGTTACATCATCTTCTTCCCTGGGAAGATGACTGAGACTGAATGCTCATTCAAAATCCTTGCCCCAAAGTCAAATGTATAATCTTGCCTTTGATTTCAGTGGGTTCAAGCTGTTTTCACAGATACATGAAATTGTAACCATTTTCATTATATCAGAAAAAAAGGGAGAAGGAAGATTCTAGATAACTCTGGGAATAATGAAATACTGTTATTAGCAGACCAATTCAGAGAATTTTTTTCTCTCTAAAAAGACAGAAAATGCACTTTTGAAAGCAGAAAATGTATCAGATCAAATTTCTACTTCCCTATTGCAAAATGTCCTGGGTCATACAGCAGTCCTGTCAGCTGCATGACCGTAGGAATAGAGAAGTACCCTAAAGTATTGTAATACTTCAAGGGATACCTCAGGAAGTTACTGTAGTGGGCGTATTGCTAGCAATGCAATCTCAAAAGCTCTGTATTTTCTGTAGAAATCAATTCTCTGTTTCAGTAAAAATTTGATCTTAACAACTACAATATTTTTGTGTTATCTCAGGTTTTTCATTTATGCCTGGAGGATAGGTGTCAGTGATTAGAAAGGAAGAAAGATTATTTATTTTTTGTGGCCCACCTCCAATTCCATAGTAGAATTTTAATATATCTATCTTAAGATGTGTTGAATATCTGGGGACTCCAAGTGTGTATTAATGCAAGTACAGTTCAGGACACCTGAAACAGAAGCTTTATTAACTATGATCACAGTGAACATTCAGACAACATCTCCCCCTCTGATCCCTTGTCCTATGCTGAGTGGGTGTGAAGATCCAACCAGCTTTTGGTTTCAGGGGACAAAAAAAGGAAAAGAAAGAGTTGAGGAAAAACAATCTTTTCAATGTTGCAAAGTCAGGTATCCAAAGTCCAGGTATCTTGCTAACAGCCACAATTCTAAGAAGGAATCAAACAGTACATAATGTCACAGTACATAACATATGCTCTCGTGGAGCATATATAAGTGGCACAGCAGTATTATCTTAGCACAGAAGCAAGGAGGTGGAAACAGCCATCGACTGTTAGCTTTTAGCTGAAAGGAATGTTTTAGTTAGGGTAAATGTTTTAGTTAGGGTGTTTAGTTAGGAATGGTTTAGTTAGGATAAACTTTTTAGGCAAACCTCTCAAATCTTAAATATTAATAATTCTACCACCACGGACCACATCCAGATTTATCTGTGTTTAATATTAAACTAAATTTGTGTCTGCAGGTCTTTTTATAGAACGACCATTCCTTTCTCTTCCAGACCTCCAAACTGCTGAAATTCTTTAGCCTCTGACACAATGGCATTATGCTTTTGGGTAATAGTAGAGCTCTGAGAGGTCAGAGGCATCTTGTAAAATTAACTTCATCTTGCTCAAGTCCAGACCACTTTGGCATTAGTTGCAAGAGCAAGCATGAGCCTGTTTACAAAACACTTTTATCCATAAACTGCACCTACGCTTGTTATACTGCGAAGTATAACTTGCATGGTAAAATGTGCTCGACTAGTGATTACAGTAATTACACTCCTGATATAGAATATAAAATGCTGATGGGGAAAAACTATGTAAGTGTTTAAGTCTTTCTTTAATATTTGCTGCTTTTGAAAATTTTGTGTTTACTCAGAATGTCATTGGAGAAGTTTATGAATCCAAATATTTGCCAGACACCTCCCATTATGCAGTTTCAGAAAAAAAGAGTATTATTATGGCAACACAATAAACACATTATTTCTTTTTAATTATTCCTTGCTAGTGTTCAGATTATGACTTATGCCAAAGAATATCAGGACAAAGGCAACACCCTGATTCAGGGCAGGTGTATCAGAGGAACCAGTGGGATCCTGACATAATTGAAAAGCATAAGAAAAAGAAAGATCAACAAGAAGAAGATAATGAAGAAGATGAAGAGCTAGAAGAAGATGAAGAGCTAGAAGAAGAACAGGTAAATATTGCTAATGTCTAAACAGCGCAAAGTATTACAATGTACTCTAGACAAAGCAGAACAATTTTCATAGAATCATAGAATGGTTTGGGTTAAAAGGGACCATAAAGATCATCTAGTTCCCACCCCTCTGCCATGGGCAGTGACGCCTTCCACTAGGCCAGATTGCTCAAAGCCCCGTCCAGCCTGGCCTTAAACACTGCCAGGGCTGAGGCAGCCACAGCTTCTCTGGGCAACCTGTGCCAGTGCCTCAGCACCCTCATAGTGAAGAAACTTCTTCTCAACTTTAACCTTAATTCAGTTTCTGTTCTGCTTCGAGAGATGTGGCATAGTACTTAAGTGGTAGGTTTAAATGAGAGCAAATGGTAATTACTGTACAGCTTAACCTGGATTCAGTCGCTAACTCAGAAGGCACTGAACTTTTTCTTTCCATAAGTTAAAATGGCGTATGAGAAGTGTGACTATATTGTCTTTTTCTTGGTCTAAGCAAAAAAAAAGAGTTTTAAAATTTTATTTATTGTAGCAAGTTTTACTACTATTTGCAGGGTAGTAGCTTGTATTCTGATTTTGGTGTTAGACTACTACACATGGATTTTCTTCTTTTTCTTTTTTCTTTTTTTTTTTTTTTTTTAATTTTCATTAAGGTATTAATGTTGAATTCAGGTTGAATTGTTCTGATTTATAATACTGGCCAGAGACTTACCACTGCAAGTTCTAGTCACATTCCTCTGAATCTGCAGAAACTACAGTCCATCAGGACAGGATCACAGTCAGCAATCACTGGACTAATACTCATTGCAATACACTGGAAAGCTACTTTATTTACCTTTGAGGAAAGACAAAAATTAGTTTAGTGTATTATTTCTGTATCTTTAAATATTTAACTTTCATTCTGCAGATGGCAGAAGATCCACTTAAGAAGTCAGAATTTTTGCATCAGTTAGTGCAGAGGCCTGAGGATTTTCTTGAAAATGCAGAGAAAAGAGTTGGAGTGTATAAGGATATCATGCTTCATCCTTTAGAAGTAAGAAAAAGCAAAATAATGTGATTATGCGTAACAGATTTTTTTTTAAGTATCTATCTTGCATGGTTTTCATTGTTGGGTGTTTTTTTTTTTTTTTTTAGTTTGAGATTTATTGTATGGATGTGGGCACAAGACATGCTAGAACATACCCCCGAGTTCTGAAATTCATAGTGAAATCAATGATTCAAAGTTGTTATCTGTAGGTGTTGTTTATGCTCTGGAGTCAAGACAAATTAATCTGCTTTGAGTTCTAAAAGTGAAATCATGCCTGGTACCACAGACGCTTCCTAAATCAAGGAATTGAAGTATTTGAAGAGCCCAGTGTATCACCATTACTGGAGTCCATTCTAGAATGCAGTCCCATAAGATATCTGCTATTTCATCCACTGCCTTCAACTCCAATAGATTCCCTTTGTCACATGCTCCATTGCCTGCAGATTTATATACACAATAATTAGCCCATCAGTTCGCTTTCTCACCTATTTTATTTCTGCAGCTGTGATACTGCTTTCCAATTTCCTTGGGTTCATGAAAACTAGATTTACTATGTATCTTTCCTCAATCTCCAAAAAAAAACAACCCCGGAACAAGTCCAAAACAATAATTTGTTTTCTTTCCTCCCCCCTCCCCCCCTTTTTTTTTCCTCCTGGTACAAACAAATGCAAAAGCCTCATGTTTGCTGCACACTTGACAATTATTGTTTATTTATCCCCATCAATTTCCCTATGGATTAGATAACTCTATAGATAAAATTGTATAAAACTGGTACAAAATTTTTTGCTAGCCTAACAAACTTGCTGCTGCTGCAAAGGGATATGCAAAAGGTTTTTATTTTTAATAATAATAATACAATCTCACATGGATTTCTCATAAGCAAACTAATGGAATGTTGTTTAAATTAACTTACTTTACATTGTGCACCAAACTTCAGAACTTTCAACATGTTCCACTAGTTGGTAGGTCTTACTTAGACTCATTAATGATAAATGTATTAGTGAGTATACGTAGTAGTCCACTAATAGAACAACACTGTTAAGATGAAATTGAGGAGAAATAAGCGTGAAATGCTACAGTTAGGGAGGAAACCTAATGAACAACTGCAACATGTAAAATAACTGGTTGTAAACTGAGTCAATAAATGTGATCCTATTGTACAAAAGCCAGTATTATGGATTGTCATGGTTTAAGCCCAGCTGGCAACTCAGAACCATGCAGCCGCTCGCTCACTCCCCCACTTCTTCCTCCTGCCACTCCTGGAGGAATGGGGAGGAGAATTGGAGGAATGTAACTCCCATGGGTTGAGATAACAGCAATCCAATAACTAAGATATAATACAAAACCACTACTGCTACAAATAATAATGATAAGGGAAAAATACCCAGCCTGACCCGAGCAGCGATCTGGGCCTTCTAGGTGACTCTCCCCAGTTTATATACTGGGCATGACGTGCTGTGGTATGGAATACCCCTTTGGCTAGTTTGGGTCAGGTGTCCTGACTCTGCTTCCTTCCGGCTTCCCCTCCTCCCTGGCAGAGCATGAGACTGAGAGAAGTCCTTGGTCAGAGTAAATATTACTGAGCAACAACTAAAAACATCGGTGCTGTCAGTGTTGTTCCCAGGCTGGAAGTCAAAACCACAGCACTGCCCCAGCTACTAAGAAGGAGAAAAAATGACTGCTGTAGCTGAACCCAGGACATGGATGTACCGATAGGACCATTGTGTATAAGAGAAACACAAACTATTATCTTCCATGTAGAAGAGTAATAGAAAGAAGTAATTACTTATCTATTTCTACCAAATACATGACGAATAGTTTAATTTATAGTATAAAAGACTAAGACTAGAGGCAAGGAAATAAACTCTGGCTGTAAGTGTAGTATAGTACCAGAATAGATTGCCTGTAAGTAAAGTTGTAGTCACCTTCTTTACGCTTTTTCATGGCTGGGGTCAGGCCAACATCTGACAGAAATGGTGTGAATGTTCTCAGTCCTCAGAGACATTAACAGTGGAGATGGGACGTCTATTTTAGTCTAATATCTTATTTACAAATGGGAAAATTGCAAATAAGAAAAATCAAAGATATTGTTTAAATTTTATAGAAATTGAGAGTCGGGACCAAAATTAAAACATTGGTCTCATTGCTGGTATTTCCAAGAGATCTGTTGATTGACACTGCCACCGTCTTCCAGTAGAGCATTGAGGTAGTTAGACAATTAGAAGTTGAATTCATACACAAAATGTTACTGTATCTTGGTTCTTTGTAGCTGTCTTGCTTTTGAGCTAGATATCTAATTTGTTTTCTGAACCCATTGTAACTCAAATTTTTTAATTCTCTCTGTATTTATACATCACTGAATAGAATGAGCTTCAATGTCATTATCTGGTTAACTATACTGATTTGATGAGTATGTCTTTGTTCTTAAACAGGACTTGATGGCTGAACAGGATTGTGAGTGTCTTATTGAAGTGGATGGAAATCAGCAACCAGATGATGTCTTAGCAGTATGTTTTAACATCCTTTATTAAAGTGTTGGCAAAATTTTAAATTGTGTATAAAACTCATTTAATTGCTATTGGAAAACATGACCTCTGAAATGCTTGCTTTTGTTGCTCTATTAAAACAGTAGTAAGACTCATTGCATTTCCCCAGGCTTACATATATGTTACATGAGAATATTTTCAGGCAGGCTACAAACTCCTTTATATTGTATCCATTTGTTTTTAGCACTTTATTTTGTGTATTAGTGTAACATATTATTAAAATAAGAAATCAAAATATTTTCAGTATATTTACAGACTTGGCTTATTTTGAGCTGGTATCTAAAATAATGACAGGATTTTTATTAACTTTGATGTTGGTTTACAGTGTAATAGAAAACTTCATTATTTTAATAATTCTGCTGAGTGTTTGTGTCCAGCTTTTTAGGTCATAACATAGCAACTCATTCTCCCTATTAAAAAAGTACAATGCTAAAATTTGAAGATAAATAATCTTTTCCTCTGCCTCAGAAATGAAGAGTTGCTTCAAATCAGAACCTGAAGTATGGGGTTGGAAATTAAGTTGGAAATTGTCTTTGACTATGTAGGAAGTGAGCTGCTCCGCAGTTTCCCTGCTGTTGTTTGAAACAAATTGAACAAAACTGTTAGAACAATCATAATTCTGTAAATATTACTTCAGTTTGTGCTAAACTTTACTACCAACAGTGGTCCTACGGGGAGAAAAAAACAAACACCAACAAAACCAAAAAAAACAACCAAAACCCAAACCCCACACTAATTTTTTAGAGTTGGAACAGAAAATTTCGTCATTTATGATCTGTTTGTGAACATAACAAAAGAAAATCTATGCTGAAGGCAATCAGGTTGTGTAATGATTCCAACCATTTTACCTATAAATAAGGCAAAGACCTGTTATGAGACTAGTCCAAACATGGCAAAATTTGCTTTTTATTTTAAGAATAGTTGCATTCAAGCAAGATTACATTCCGGAAATACTTCAATTAAATTTAATATCATCTGATTTGCATTGTCAGACATCTGGTTTAAGTATCTTTTTAAATAAATTACCCAAAGTTGTATTACTTCCAAGTGTGCATAATCTGATCTCCTAAAGAGACTTTCCTCCTTTTCTGGTTGAAGCTCATCTGAGTGCTTTCAGTGCTGTGTGGGAAGGAACCCTTCACAGCCTATTCCTTTAGAAGGCTTGGGATTCACAGCATAATTAGGAGACATAAAGGCCATGTGTGATTCAGCGTTTTGCACAGACTGTATCTACCAAATATCTTGTTAAAATTCAGCTCAGTAACTAGCATGACTCCAAGCTAGAAACCGGGCCTTAGTGTATACGTAGCCATTACATAGATGATAGGTTACAATTTAAAAAATACTTTGGTGGTCCTTTTGGATCACAAAAGCGGTTTTGATCGGGACTGAGTCAAGAGTTATTTTCTTTTCAGTCAGTGGCAGTTCGACTTCAATCTCTGGGTGTTCCAATTGGAGCTCCTATAACCAGACTTCAAAGTGATCAAGAAGAAACACTGGAGGGACTGGAAAATGTAAGTGTGCTTTTCTAAAATGTGATTGACTATAATAACTATAAAAATATTTTTTTTCTTTTCTGCTGTAAGCTTATATTACAACATCTTTGTTTCACAGCAACCAGTTTGTTTTACTATGCAATAAGGGCATTTTTTGAGCCTTTATTTTTCAGAAATGTGAATTTAAGCTAATTCTGGGGCTGAAATCCACTTAAAGAGTACGAAAAGAAAATAGTCTGCCATTTAAAAAAAAAAGTTAGATTATTGTAATCGCATTTTGAACAAAATGTTTGTTTTAGCAATAGAGGAAGAATTATTTCCTTCCAAGAAAATAAAGAAACTTTAGCAAAAAGATAACAATTTCAGCAGCTGACTTCTGCTTACTCTTTTCCTGAATTAGAAACAGCATGCTAATACAAATTTAGTGACATGTAATTAATTAGAAACATGACTAGTCAGTGCTGAATTTTGCTGAATCACAACAATTATAATTTGTGTCCCTTCTAAATAAAAATAAAAAACTGAGGTCTTCGCATAATGTCTTCACCTATATTCACTTGCAGCCATCTTTGCTATGTCTTAAACAAAACTCTGAATATATAAATGGTAGTGCAACTGGGAGACCCCACTATATGTTTTCAGAGAAACACCCCTCCCTTCACTCTTCTGTTTTCTCAGTATCTGACAAAATTCACAAGTAAAGGACTTCATGTGTCAGAGGTCATCTGTATTTATTAGTTAGTTAGTCTGTGTGTTTGTGTTAATCTGTGTGTAAATTTTAGCATCCACAGTATTTGGGGTAAGGATTTGTTCAGCTTAACTGGACATTTTTTACAGAATTGCTTCCCTTTGTGTTGACCCTGCCACCTTTTAGCTCAGTGGCCTCTAGTTGTTGATACGCAAAAGTCAGTAAATAGTTTCGTTCTCTGTATCTGCCCTGTAATAATCCATCATTTCAGATTTCTGTCTGTTCTTATGTAGCTGTTTTGTTCCTGGACCAAAGAATTCCAGTCTACTTAATCTTATTTATTCTTACATGAAAATATTTTTGTGTGATTGATCAGTCATATTATCTTTTTTTTAAACTTGTCCTATTCTACTGCATATTTTTTGAAATGAGGGTGGCACAATGCACATAGCAGTAAAGGCGAGGGCAGCATTTACACAATTCAGAAATTAAATCATTATCTTCTCTCTTAGCTAAACATTCCTAACATTCACGTTGGTTTTCTGACTTCTTTTGGGCATTGACCAAATACTTTCATGGAAAGTATTACAGCTCCAAGATCTATTCCTGAGGAGTGACAGTAAATGATAACTCATCATTTTCTGTGTAAACCTGCTGTTTTCGTGCCTGGACTCCTAGATTCTGGAGGGCCTTTTGCAGTTCTTCACAGCCAGCATCTGTCTGTACTATTCTGAATAATTTAGAGTCATCATAAATTTTAGGATTCAGTCACTATTCAGATTCTGTAAAGGTCTATTAAACTTACTTCTATCACATGATATTTCTGCATGCCTAAAAGAGATATTTTGACTTTGCTATTCCCTGCCCACAGACCGTACGTCATTCTTCATCCCATTTAAAAGAAATCTTGTCCATATTCTGTCATCTTCAAAAAGTGGCTGATTTGTACCTCTTTATCATTTTAAAATTCTGAAAATAATAAATAAAGCCTAGAGAAACTATTTTAGGTACTAGTTTTATTAAATAAACTTGAAAAACTAAATAGTTTCTCCTTAAAATTGTCCCATAATTCTGATCTATGTGATTTTTTAAAAAATGTACTAAAAACTATAGTATACTTTTTAAAAAATATACTATACAGGTTTGCTTGTTTTCCAACAAAATATTTCAAAAAAGGCTAAGAACAAGGCATATGTAGCTTCAGACAAAAATTACATATGCCGTTCTTGCTGTTCTAATCAACAGGGTGAACTTCTCCGGGTTCTGTCGTCTTACCAACTAATAGCACGCAGATATCGATGGCATAGAAGCAGGTGGGGGAAAGCATGTCCTGTGGCTCTAAAGAAAGGTGATATTGTAATGGGAAATCCAGACTTAGCTGTCAGGTTAGTGGAATTTGTCATTCTTTATTTTTATTTCTATTTTATAAGATAACTGTCTGTATCTGTTAGCTTCTCTTCTGTTTTAAGTTTTCTAGGTAAAATGTACATACTGTCATCCCCAGCAGCATTAAAAGCATTTATGTTGAATCCACGGCCTTACTTGTTACCACCAATGCCACTTCCTCCTTGTAAAGTACTAGTATTTGGTCCTCCATTCTCTGGAAGAACAACTATTTGTAACCTAATTGCACACAAATACAAAGGAAAGGTAGGTTTATAAGTGTGTTATGTAACAAAGGTATCAGCTGAGGCTTGGGAAACAGTTAAGCCCATTCTTATTTTTGTTGTGTAATTAACATATACATTGCAAACATGGATTATAGAGGAAACCTAGTATTTTTGTGAAACTCATTTATATTAAAGTAGCTAAATTTCAAAAATATTCTTATTTACCATCTAAGGCAAATATTTGTCAGTTATTTGTCTTAGCATAAGAATATCATTAATAACTTTTGTATCTTAAGATAATTAAATGTAAATGCAAATTAGAAAATATTTTTTCCACAAAAAAATCCCTGCCCTTGAATTATATGTATTTTTGTCTGAAATTTGCACAGCTTTTCCAATTCATTTCCTTGTATAGATGTTGTATCTGATGCTACATTTCTCTTCTGTGATTTTTTTATTTTTTTGAATAATTTCACTAGGTTCTTGATATGGCCAAACTCATTCAACCCCATCTGGAAAAAGCAAGAGAAGAAAACTTGGAGCAAGTGCGAAGGGATGCAATAGAAAAGGCTATAACAGCAGTGAAAAACAGGATGGAAGAACATTCAGCAGAATTAGGTGAATAAGATGTTCCATGGTCTTTGAAGCTATCTTATTTGCTTTAGGTTATTTAACTGAAGCAATTGCTGTCACTTTGACTTAGAAATTACTACAGAAGTTGTTACGGTTGTTGTGCATTAAATGTGAACTAAAAGTACATGCAGTGAAGGGGACAGCTGAGTAAAATTCACTATTTTTGATATTATATGTAAATCCTTGGAAGCTGAAGGCCACGAGAATGTAAGAATGTAAGAAAGAGTTTTCTGAGCTCTTTTTGAAAGAAGAAATTGGTTCTGACTGATACTGGTTTAAAACTTTCCATTTGAATGACTTTCTAACAAGTTAAATCTCTGCAAAATTGAAATTTTCTTCAAGAAAGCACCTTGTCAGCTAGCCTAATGTGAACCCACAGTCTACAGATTTTCCTCTTTGCAGCAGCCTTCCCAGTATGCTGTCTCAGATGGCACATTCACAAGACTCTCCAGCTCTGGTCACATCTACACTTCATAAGCTGCTCAGGTTTTTGCAGCTTGCTGAATTCAGAAAATATTTTGAAAAGGTGAAAATAATGTATTTTTTAATATATATTTTAAACAAAATTTAGATGTTCTTTTTTCAGAAAAGTTGGTGGGTTTGGTTTGTTTTTTTTTTCAAAATTATTTATTTTGAAATTAAAATTTTCCATTGAATTGGAATTGCCTTTCCAGGTAGCTCTACCTGTGGTTCAAATGGAAGGTCAAGCCATTTTGCCTTATTCAGCTAGCAAGGAATCACCACATTTGACTTACTTATGTGTAGATACATATCTAACAAGAAGTTGGTGTATTCCTTTGGTGCTGCAAAACATAGAAGTTGACAGGGATACAAAAAATGTTGGCATTGAAGTAAGAATAGTGGTGAACTATCACACCAAAATAAAAATCATTAAACAGAGTCATGTTCCAGATTCCTGGCTATGTAAATACTATTCAGGATAGTATGTGAAATCATATTAGGATTAATAAGAACTTAATCCTAATTAATAAGCTTGGTGAGCTTAAGTGATATTATTGCAAAACAACTACAAACAGATGAAGAATGTAAATTGTCACACAAAGCAGGAAAGCTTCAGAAGGGGAAATTAAATGTTTTTGGAAGCTTGAATCTAGATCTAGAGATAAGTATTCCAGAAAGTATTTCCTATTCCTAATGAAATTATTTAGTTAATTACCTAGTAAATTCTGCCTTTTGAGAGAACTACAGAGAATCACTAAAAATTATGCAAAAGACAATATATCATTTTAAATAGTTAAATGGCTTCCTGATTGCACTGAATGCTCCCAAGTCCAGTTGAGCCCTAAACGGTGAGGCTGTGATACTCCACTGAAGACTGCAGGGCTTCTGTCTGTTGTCAGAGTAGGTCAGAAGGTTGAAGAAGTTCGTGCTAAGGACTCAATATCTATGTCATGCAGTTATTCCTGGCCAGAGGAAATAAGTATTTCAGAATTTTGTGAATTTTTAACCTTAAAAAAATCTGTATTGTTAGGAATGGCAGAGATAACTGCTGACCACCCAGAAGTTCAAGCGATGGTAGAAGCCACAAGAAGTGCATCAGTCTCCGAAGTTACAGTGCCACCTGAAATATACACCGAAGTACTGGAGAGAGCTATTGCAGAGGTAAAATTACAAGTGCTACATGGCAAAGTATTTGTTTTCTAAGAGCAACCTGTAACAGCTTATACATTATTGATATATGTTCTTGATTTTTCCATTTGAACTATCAGTTTTGTTTATATCCCATAGTCTGAAAGCTCACACACAATTAAGGAGAGATTGAGCAAGATCATGAAAGACAAATCTATTGTGGATTTACATACATATATACACAGGCAAATTATTTATGTTGTGCAAAGTACCTGGGCTACAAATTGTTAAAGCTTGGGAGAATTATCTGAGGGAAGTATCACTGTATGGTTGCCCTATTCTTATACTCCTGATAGTCATTATCAAAGAGCTCAATGCCAGATACAAGTGTGTGAAAAGAATTTTATATGAATGTTTATCCAGGAATCTTGAATTGTTTAAAATTTATTCACTGCTGTGTGACTACTGAAAATGGAATCTAAATTCTTTACAGGCAGCCTTAAAATATTACTGGCACATTAATCTCTTTTTGTTTAAAATGTTTTTATTTCATTCAGACATACAAAATTATAAATGTCTTACTTTTTATTGACCTGAAATGACAATAGAGAAAAATCATAACGTTTAGAAAATCATTTTGTATTGTGCAGTCTTTTTGAACAGCTCACAGACTATCTTAGTCTTTTTATGTTATTGACCTGACATTTTATAACAGCTTATCAAGAATAACAAAGACAGGTTTCCTGGTGCTCCAGAAAAAGGAGGATGGGTAGTGGATAACTACCCTCTGTCAGTAGATCACTGGTCAGCTTTATCAGAAAAAGGACTTTTACCTGACACTGTTGTCTGTCTGAAGGATACAAAAAAAAACGGTTAGTAAATGCACACTAATGCAACTTGATCTTATCTTTTTTCTTTTTTTTTCTCTGTTGATAACTGTATATAAAGCACGCTTACAAAAAAAACCTAGTAGTTTTGTCCTGTTTATAAAATTTCGGGTGTCTAGAGAAGGAAGAATCCAGTGAATTAACAAGGGTACACTAAATTTCTCCCTGTTTGGATTAAGGGAATTACACAGAAAATTCCTCCTGTTTATAACCCTATTTACAATTTCCTCCTACTTACAATCAGCAGTAAGTACCACTAGTCTCTTGCAGTTTCAGACTTCTGTATTCTGTGTCTGGCTGGCCACCAGCTTGTGATGTGGCTCTCAGTCAAATTTTCCTGCCTGCACACTGGTTTCTCCACTTACAAAATCAGGATATTGATATGAATTTTCTCTGCTTGAGAGAAAAGAGGGGGAGAAATGATGCATGTCTGTATGCATGTGCATCCTATTCCCCATCATGAGGTCAAAAAAAGCTGAGCAACTTTATATCCAGGTTGATACAATAGCTTAGTACCTATGAAATTAGAGGAAGGGACTTTTTATTTCAAGCAGGAAGAAAGGTGCTCACAACCCTGATGATACTTCTGTTTGAACTAACACTGTTTTAGTCTTTATATCACATAGCAAAAAAAGATTGCTTCATTAATTACAACCCATTTGGCCCTGTGTATAAGTAGATTTCAGATTTAGACGGTAATCCATTATTCACATTTTTAATGTATTTGAGATGATAATGAATCTATACCCTAATTTTATCCTTGGAGCTGTTTCAGGTTACATATGGATCAATGACAACTTTTTTTGCTTCAAAGTTTCAGTCACTGGTGGGAGGAAATGAATTAATATACTTTAAATGATAAAGTATATATTTTTACCATCTCAGCTTGAAAGAAGTGATGTGAAAACTGAATACAATTATGCTATTTGTAGCCTATTACAACAAATCTAAGTAAAATATAATAGTGGCATAGAGATTTTCTTAAGAGACTTCCAGTTGCATTAAAACAGGACATTGCAAGAACATTGTTCTTTCAAGCATAACCAGCTGAGTTACCTGCAAACCTGCTCCATTAGCAAGCTATCTTATATCTGATTAATACCAGTAGCACATATTCTCAGCTCAGCCACTTAGGACTTTGCTAATTTATTATCCACTCTTCTAATCTCTTGCTCAATTTGATCAATTCCTACTGAAATCCTTCATCAGATGAAATAATGTTGAATCCTTTAAGTGAGAAACACATGTGCTGGTACCCAAGTTAAAAAAAAAATAATTAGTTATAGTACAGTAATTGTGATACTTCTGGAAGTTCTGCATATTATAATTCTGTAATTAAAAATTTCACTTCAGCTCTGTGTCTATTGGACTCTGAATAATTAAGAAAACTAATGCTCTTCGGCATTGCTCCTTTTTGTAATACTGTAAGAAAACACAAAGATGGGAGAGTGCATCCCTGGGCCACCAGACAAAGCTACTGAAAACTCTCACAACTTTTTCTTCTTTTTTTCCCCAGAAGAATACCAGGATACAATTATTTAAAGATGAGTTTATAAACAACACTAAAAAAAAATTCCCTTCACTCACCCTCCATTTTTCAAAAATACATTCAATTGAAAGTATGGTTTAAAATATAAACCATTCACACAAAATTATCATCTGCTTCAAAATCAACACCAGTGTTGCTAGCAGTTTGGTAACATGTTTCAAATTTAGATAAGCATACATTTTATGTTACTTGATATGTTCCATATCAAGTGAGATATGGAAGGAACAAATATGGAGAAAGTGAGGTTAAAGAGATAAGATCTTAATGTCTGCTAGAAGGTTTGGGTTATAGTATAGCTTTTTGCTTATGGATATTTCCTTGAATTATCTATTTTGTTTCATTTGGGGCTTGGGGTTCTGTTTGTTTCTCTCTCTTTTAATTTGGTCAATTGTGCTAACTTTTTATTTGATTCCCATTAATCTCTGTCACTTAAATAATAATGAAGTTGTGAGGTTTACATTTTCACAGCATTTTGAGTTATGGCTTTGTAAGTTATTCCCTGAACTAGTCCAAGCTTGCATAACTCCACTGAGGGAAATGGATTTCTACCACACAGCTATGTATCATAAATCTATTTGCCAAAGTAAGTAAGTCAGTAGAGTTCCTAAGAACAGCATATTCTTAATTTCTGTCAATCAGCTGAAGTAGTATAGAATCATAGAATAGTTAGGGTTGGAAAGGACCTTAAGATCGTCTAGTTCCAACCCTCTTGCCATGGGCAGGGATGCCTCATACTAGATCATGTCACCCAAGACTCCATCCAACCTGGCCTTGAACACTGCCAGGGATGGAGCATTCACAGCTTCCTTGAGCAACCTGTTCCAGTGCTTCACCACCCTCACTGTAAAGAACTTCTTCCGTATATCTAATCTAAACTTCCCCTGTTTAAGTTTGAACCCATTACCCCTTGTCCTACCACTATAGTCCCTGATGAAGAGTCCCTCCCCAGCATCCTTATAGGCCCCCTTCAGATACTGGAAGGCTGCTCTGAGGTCTCCACGCAGCCTTCTCTTCTCCAGGCTGAACAGCCCCAACTTTCTCAGCCTGTCTTCATACGGGAGGTGCTCCAGCGCTCTTATCATCCTTGTGGCCCTCCTCTGCACTTGCTCCAACAGCTCCATGTCCTTTTTATGTTGAGGACACCAGAACTGCACACAATACTCCAAGTGAGGTCTCATGAGAGCAGAGTAGAGGGACAGGATCACCTCCTTTGACCTCCTGGTCACGTTTCTTTTGATATAGCCCAAGATACAGTTGTCTTTCTGGGCTGCGAGCGCACACTGTGTGTACATTCTTAATATTTTCATTTTAATGTTTTTAATTTGTTTCTTCATAGTTTTCTTCATACATATACAAACAAAATATATGCCAGAGTAATGCTTGATATTCAGAAATATAAGATAAATCCTTTCAGTGCTGTCTGTCCTCATAGCCTTCATCATAACCTTCCCATATCCTAGACTCAGCTTATTAGGTGCTTGAAATTAAAATCAAAGCTCTAAAATCTTAGAAAGCAACAGTATAATAATGTTTAAGTGGTATATATGCATTTTCTTGGCTTTAGAAAGTTGTCTATCATTTATTAAATAATTTTCCTAACTCAAATAACTTTAGTTTTATACAGATGCATAAAACTCAATACAGTTGTATACTGTTTTGCAGGAGTCTGTATAATACGCAGAACATACTCAGCAAACAGGGATGAAATTAATCCTAAGATTTTGAAAAGACTAACAGATGAAGCATTAGAAGAGAAAAACATAGAAGAAGAAAGGTGAAATATTCCAAATATCTGAACATATAAAATGAGAACAAGAAAATTCTAGCCTTACTTTGTGTTAAACTTATCAGTGCATTTATCAACATAAATGTAGTATAACAGTACACTAAGATTAGTTATGAGGTACAGGAACTAAGCCAATATGTTTCAATTTTGAGGAATATCTCATTTAGATCAGTAAAAATGGTGGCTGGAGATTCTCTTGATAAATACCTTTCATTACTCCAGCCTTTTGATGTAATGAGACAATAACATTTTAGATTATAAAATATATTTGATTTTTATTTTGTACAACCCAAATTATATTTCAGTTCCCAACGGTATTTTTCCACATCTTTACATTTAATATATCTGCAACTTGTTTCAGCAGTATTTCTGTAAGTCTTAAGAAGAATAATCTTTTACTTACAGAAGAGAAATGCAAGAAAAACCAGTATCAGAGGAAGAACAATCTCATGGGGCTGCTCTGGAGAAAGGTGAAAGTGTGTATAATTCTACTTCTATTTAAACTAATTATGTGTTTCAAATCATTTAGCAATTTGGTTTTTATGCAGATTTTACAGTTTTGATTTCCTTATTACATTCAGCATCTAGAAAAGTTACTTCATATTACTATCTTTGTTTCCTTCACTGATTCACGTACTCATTTCTATGTATCATTCTTAATCAGTGTTACAGAATAGAGATGTGTAGTAAATCAGTGAGCACAGTTGTGCTTTTCAATAAATTCAAAGGACAGGACTCTCTATGTCCTCTTTCTAAGTGGGTTATTAACTTGTTGTGGTTTAAGCCAAGCCATTAACTCAGAACCATGCAGCTGCTCGCTCACTCTCCCCCTTCTCCCCCACCACTCCCAGAGGGATGGGGAGGAGAATCGGAGGAATGTAACTCCCATGGGTTGAGATAACAGCAGTCCAGTAACTAAGGTATAATACAGAACCACTACTGATACCACCAATAATAATAATGATAAGGGAAATAACAAGGGGAGGGGACACAACCGCTCACCACCCGCCAACCGATACCCAGCCTGACCCGAGCAGCGATCTGCGCCTTCTGGGTGACTCCCCAATTTATATACTGGGCATGACGTGCTGTGGTATGGAATACCCCTTTAGCCAGTTTGGGTCAGGTGTCCTGTCTCTGCTTCCTCCTGGCTTCCCCTCCTCCCTGGCAGAGCATGAGACTGAGAGAAGTCCTTGGTCAGAGTAAATATTACTTAGCAACAACTAAAAACATCGGTGCTGTCAGTGTTGTTCCCAGGCTGAAATTCAAAACCACAGCACTGCACCAGCTACTAAGAAGGAGAAAAAATGACTGCTGTAGCTGAACCCAGGACATAACTGTATTGAAACTTCCTACTCATCAAAATATCTGTATCTGCTTACAAGTCAGAAAACATTGTTAGAACTTCACCAGTAGCTGATAAGAAAATCACAAAACTGTCTGAATTTCTGGTTTTGCTCCAAGAAGCACAGCCTGAAGCAATTGAAGGAAATGAAAATTATTTCAGGAGTGGCTCTCTTAACTTGCAAGGATTGCTGAATCTAGTAACAACATATGTTACGAATTACTGAATCCAGAAGCCCTGTAGAGGTGAGGCTGCTGAAGCTCCATGTCCCTAGTACCATGCAGTAATGAGTCTGAGCATATATTCCTATTTCAGCTTTCATCTTCTTCTTACTATTATCCATGCTTGCTCCTCCCAATCTACTTTGATCCCTCCTTCTCCTTCCCTTTGGTCCTCAGAAATGCCTCGTAATACTGTAAGTCTCTCACAATCCCAAACTGCTTTTCTTGGCATCCCCTAATGAATGACTTACTCTGTAGGCAGTAATCACCCTTAGCCAGGGAAAGCCTCTCTAGTTGACTTATCTCACTAGATCTTACCCCCAGACAATGCCTTCATTATCCTCATTTAATGGCCTCAAGGTTATGTTTGTTCTGATTAGATTTCTGCGGTACCCCCACCTGTCATTACGCCTCCTTTGTGCTTACAGAGATTAGCCTTTAACAGCATAACGTATCAACATAAAAAATAACAGAATTACGTGTATTACATGAGGTTTCCCCTATAATAACTGTATTAATAGAATATGTGGGTAAAGAGTTTCTTACTTTGCTTCTTTCTGTATTAATAGAAACACATTATTTTTTGTTTAGCCACTATTTATTTCCTGTAAGAGTGCTACTTTCATATCAGATTTTTGCTATACTTTTTTCCCAGCAATGAAAATATAGTTGTCCTGGGCAGGATTGAATAGTCTGTGAGGAGTGAGATTTTGGGGGCAGGTCAACTGTCACAAATAGGCTGAATTTTTGAACCTCAGAAAACTCTGTCAGTTGGGTCCAGGTTTAGAACCTCAACAGTCAAAATTAAGTTTCAGGATTGTATTTTCCTTTTTGTCTTCTTCAGACACTGCTTACTTTCTTAGAAAAATGTTGCTGTCTAATTTAGATCTGCTGTCAAGATGAAGTATCATGCACAACTATCTGTCTCTATATTAAGAATAAGGTTGGAGACTATAGTTTTTTCTTCCTCTGCTTTATGATTTCAAGGTTTCTCCATCATAGCCTAAATTATCACCTAAGGTCTGGAGCTGAAATTTAAAACTGAAGGGTATGAATTCCCATTTATTTTCTTTCCTTCTTTCTTTCCTTCTTTCTTTCCTTCTTTCTTTCCTTCTTTCTTTCCTTCTTTCTTTCCTTCTTTCTTTCCTTCTTTCTTTCCTTCTTTCTTTCCTTCTTTCTTTTCTTCTTTCTTTTCTTCTCTCTTTCTCTCTCTCTTTCTCTCTCTTTTTTTTAATTTTTTCCCTCTCAGTAGTGAGGCCCTAGACTGCCCTCACCGTTTTCCCTTCAAACATGACATACTGGTTTCCACAGAAAAATATCATGGCTAAGCTTAAGTTGTGTATTACCAGTATGTCTCACATACACTTTCTTTCATTATCCAGTCTGATGTTCATTTTACCTATATATAGCAAGGTCTAAGTCATAAATGTAGTATAAGATAGACTGAATTTAATAAATGCTTATGATTTTTAACTGGGTAACATTTCATCTGCTCTCTGGAAAAAAAACCACAAACACTCTAGCTTTGTAGGGTTTTTTAAATTACATATACTTTTTTAAAGAAAAATTCATTATAACTTTTCATTGTTGCTAATAAAAAACATAAATCTTCTCCAAAGTGAATGAGAGCTAAAATATTAAATACAAAGGGTTGTACACAGATACTCTATTATCTTTGTCTCAAATAACAAAGTTCATCCTAGCTTTGAATAACTCATTTTGATCTGAGTACATCAAAACAATTATTAATGAGAGAAGTAATATCATATACACAGTTGTGCTTTTAACACGTGCTAAGTCCTTGTTCAGAGAAAATCATGTTTTCCTATGCCAACAACTGATTTCAATAATCAAATACTGACTCACCAAAACACTTTAGTCATACAGCTCTTAGCCTGACAACAGCTTTATTTCACATGTGCCATCAGCACTTTGACTGCAGCTTTTCTCCCATGTGACATATCTTTACAAAAATATACATGAATGCTCTATTCGCAGTTTTGGGAGCTTTTGTATAGAAGTTATGGTATAAAAATGAAAAGTCAGAAAAATACTCTAGAGCCCAAATCATGCTCTTTTGATGTGTCATATATCATGTAATATGGGAATCACAAAATTGTTAGGGTTGGAAGGGACCTCTGGAGATCATCTGCTCCAACCCTCTTACCAAGGCAGGGTCTGTTCTCTTCTATATAAATAAATGTGCATTTCAATAATTGCAATTTTTGTAACATCAGTGGGACACTGAAGTAACTGGGATTGCTTCAGGACTGAACATAACCAAATTTATAATATCATTTGTATTTAAAAGGAAAAAGTGGTTCCAGTAATGAGGTACTTACACGTGTCTTAATGGGAGTGAAAATAAATGGAGGAGACTGAAGGTACACAAAACACAAAAAAAATTTGGTAACTCTTGCTTGCAGTCTCTAGCTGAATATTATAGCTGCACATCTTTTTTCATGTGCCTTCACACAATTATTGTGAGCTTATTTCACGAATTTCTTACTGTATTTAAACATTTTTGCAGCAGCTTTGTGTGTGTAGATTTATCTGTGCTAGGAGACAGCTATATGACTTCATGAGAATATATTTCAGGCATTGTAGAGAGTTAGACAACTTCAGGTAGATCTGTGGGTTCACTCCAATCCTGCTATAAAACCTGGCATATTTATTTCTTGACACGTTTCAGCAATAAAATATCCCATACAGTTGATCTTGTCCATTAAAGCAAACAGTTGTCATGGTTTAAGACTTTATTTTCTGTATTTTGGCAGCATTTATTTAAAAGTAAGTAATGAAAAGTCTATATAAACAAACTGCATGGTGTGTTTCAAAAAGGCAAGTGAAAATATGTTCATAATGAAAAACATATCAGTTCTAAGGAAGGGAAGTGTCACTGTTATCCTATGTTTTGCCTTTCTGTTTATTTTGATAGCTAAGCTCTAATGAAGAAGACATGCTGGCTTCTGGTCTTTCCATCTCAGCTTTGGCAGGGTTTGAGAGGGAAGGAAAGAAGGATTTTATTAATCTTTTTTGTTGCTGAATATGGACTGAGGGCAGAACAAGTCGTATCTAATACTAGCAGAACACTCAAAAAAAAGATTCCCTAGAAACTCACTTGGAGAATGTGGGGGCAGAAAGCCTTTGAAGATTGTTTATCTCTATGGTAACTATGCTCAGTAAAGGCAAAGAAGACACAGAACAAAATAATATGAGAGATTGCCATACAGGTATTCCCTGTGAAAGCTCCAGATTAAGGGCTGGAGAGGATTGTTTTCTATCACCTATGTGGTAAGGAAAAGAAATTACAAACAGCACTGTTAGATTGAGCACCACTGCCTCTGAAGGAAACTTGTTTGCATTTTTAGATCCGTTTATTTTTAAATCATTACTGTCTTTTCAAGTATTTTTCTTTACTATGTTTCTTATTTCTTTGAAAATATCATCTCACTGTAAATCACCTCTGCAAGCAGAATTATTATAACTTGTATCTAATGGCAAAGGTACAGCTGCCTTACTTACTTAAAAGTATTTTCAGTATCTTTATTCCCTGAGACCCAGTTTGAAACAAACCAAATGCCAGAGAGGCAACTTTTTTGTCGTAATAAGTTTCAATACCTGAACCAAAAAGAAATATTATTTGAGTTGTCCGGTTCTCGAGTTGTCCCTTTTCCCTAAGAATGTAATCCTTTTCTCTTTTGTTACTTCATCCATCTTTCCAGGCGAAAGTTTCTCTAGATCCCTTAGGCCTGTATAATCCATTTAAAAGCTCCATAAGTATGCAATAATGCAAAAATGATTGTAAGTATGCAATAATGCTGCTGGGTAAGTTTCCTTAAACAAGAAAACTCCGATAAAGGTAATATGCTGCAATTATGTGTCTAGAGTAGAGAATCAGGGC